CCTTGTGTTAATGACTTTGCTGAAAGGGTTGAATTGAATATTGGTGAGAGTGTAAGTAGTGTGCATGAAGGTTATGCTGAGAAAATGGAAATGTGCCCATAAAATGACAAATGTGGCCTTGAGCAGACTTTGGAAGAAGTAAGCTGAATTAAAACCTGGTCAAATCTGATCAAATCTTATGAATTGTGAACATATGGACAGTCAGATGACCTAAAAGGAAACATCAGATTCCTACAGAAAATTAATAGTCACAGTAGAACTACACGTCTTTTAGATATAGAGGTATATTTAATAAATGTGTGTTTTTCTCTGTGCAGATGAGACCCATGCAGACTGATGGCTGGCCAGAGATGAATGAGGGCAAACAGCCCGATGTGACGAGTGAGAAGGACCTGCAGCAGGCCAAAGCTGTTATTCTCGAATGGATCAAGGATATAAGAGCCCAGCCTGAGGTGGGAGGTTCAGACATACAACTAATATTTGCTTCAAAACAAAAATTAAGTTTGCTCATTGTTTTTTATTGACATTGATCATTCTGCAGCAAAGTGTGTGGCCCGGAGAACCAGTAGTGAAGAATCTGGAGGACGTGCAGTCCGCCTGGCGCTGGGGCCGTGCTCCCAATCTGCTGACCGCCATGGAGCTGCTTATGTGGACTTTAATGTTACAGCGGCCTGACAAGGTAGAAGTTCTTTCTGTAATCCACAGGTCAAACTTTACAGCTTGCATGACCCGCTGCAGTTAATCAATGAGGCCTCTGTGTTGTTTGTTCCTACAGGACACCATCCCACAGCAGTGGCTTCTGTGGAAACAGAAGACTCAGAAGATTGGTTTGTAAATCGTGAATCTAGCTGACTTTGGTTGTTTCTTTGGAAATATTTACCCTCTTATGAGTTTATCATTCTCTTTTTCCAGGTGCCATATCCTACATCCCTCAACCAGGTGAGATATGTACTGTAGACCACGAATCACACATTACTATTGCCATGCTGGTGCATTTACACTATTAGATCCACTTACTTTTATTTTCACTTTTTTTTGGCAGTGTGGGATTGGATTGCAGATGCTGCAGGTACAAAATTAAATATTTAATCAGATTTTTTCCCATATAATTTTTGCTCAACCTGTTTTGTAATTTAAACCTCTTCACATTTCCCCTCTAGTGGAGGTGACCCTGGATCTGGACACGGCCAACCCTGATCTGCTCATCTCTACTGATGAGAAAAGGATGCGCTGTGGCTTTGAGAGAAAGGATATTCCCAACTACCACCAGCGTTTTGATGGTTGGTGGTGTGCCGTTGGAACGGAGGGCTACGGCACTGGTCGCCGCTACTGGGAGGTGGAAGTGGGAGAGCGCGACTGGCGGCTGGGCGTTGCTAAAGAGTCGGCCCTGAGGAAAGGTTTTAAGTCGCTGAACACAGATACGGGGTACCTGACCTTGCGGCTGGAGAGGGGCACTGAGCTTAAGGCGCTGACGGTGCCATTCACCGCGCTGCCACCCGGCCTCATCCCCCGCAAGGTGGGGGTCTACCTCGACTATGACAACAACCAGCTGTCCTTCTATGATGTGGACAAACATTTCCACATTTACACCTACAACGAGAGCTTTGATGAGAAGCTTTTCCCACTGTTTGGCACAGTGGAGATCATCAAGGATCTGGTTATCAGGTCTCCAGCAGCCAAAACCCAGTGTCTGTGCTCCACATCTTGCATGTGGGGTTGAGTTTCCCTCCGTGGGCATTTCCTTTAAAAAAAAAAAATCAGTAGACATCATAGTGAAGTATAACAATCCCAAATCACAGGGAGGTTGCAAAAGACCTTAAATGTGCTACTGAATAGCTTCACTTTGTGACCACTCTCTATACTGCTGCTTTAATGTGATTGTTGCTTCCATTTTCTCACTACAGAGTTATAGTGCAATCCTTTTGCTCACATACGTGATGAAATGCCGTCATCTTCTTTCAAGAGAAACCTATAGTGTTAATGTGATGTATTGTGCATTATTAATCCAGCAATAAAATGCACTCGTGTGAATAATAAATAAACCAAATCTATGTCTTGATGCTTCATGTCTTTATTGATACTGCTGATATTCTGTTTGGTAATGTATTTAAAATATATACAGTTATATACAATTTATACACTCATCATTGGCATGAATGTCGTGTTAATTTTGGATTTCTTATTATTTCTTTGAACTGTCCTTTTTCCAGAGTGCAATG